AAAGGAGAGAGGTTGTTTCCCTGCAGATGAACAACTATTTGTATAATTACATGTGGCATTTTCCAAGCCCTGTTGTGAGCAACTTCAAAAGGAGAAGGTCTGTATTAGACAAGAAAGTGCCACATACTTGGAGGAAAATGCTGTTTTGCTAGTAAACATTATTCTTACACTCCATCTAAACCCAGACCTTTTAAAACGTTTGACGTTTCAGGGCATTGCAGCATTTTGTATGATATACAGTATAATATATAGTAATTCCGAGTTTTTATGCTCTTGGCTTTCAGAAGAAATGCCTTACAAACTTATTTAATATCCTTAATTAAATAAAACAGTGGTCTTCAGAAAAAAATCACTTTACTCTCTTACAGGCATGGCAGCATCACACAGAGCTTTTGAAGCCATGCCAAAGTTATTGAGTCTAGGTTCTAATTACTGCTCACTAGGTACATTTTTAAAAACTACAATTTACAAAGTAAGCAATCCATTTAACATAAAATAATAAAAAACAATGTATCTTCAATGATCTCTACACAAAAGACTTTACTTGCCCATATTTACCACTTGACAGAACATGAGACACCACAGTTTCTTTCCAAGGCAGAGTGGGAAATAACTGTGACAATCAACATTGCTCACTGGCTTCAGAGGGGCTAGAATTTCATCCCTGACTGCTTGCTGACAAATGCTGACTTGTAGCCATGGCAGAAAAGTAACAAATCTCTCTTGTCCAAAGGCCTAACATTATGAGCCCGATTAGTGTGCTGCACCCCACTCACTCCATTCAATACACAAGGATTCCTACACGTGCTGCAGAAGGACAACTATTTTAAATACTGTAGCTAGCTGCTTGCAGCAACTTGGTGTACATACCAAGAAAAGCAGTGAAGAATACATTAACCAGCTGAGACTGCAGGGAGCATATAAGCAAAACAGTGAGAATATAATTAATATAATTAAGTGAGAATCTAATTAGAATTGGCAAATGTACCCAATGGTTGGTGAGATACCCTTGTGAAAGGGACAACGGGTTCACAGTCAGGTCATACCTGTATCGCCAGGGGATGTAATAAGAACAAAACCAATAATTTATTTATTGGCAGCACAAAAACAAAGCAAAATAGGCAAATCCTTTTTTTTCTCTCTTTGCTACGTTGTCACCAACGCACATTTCCACGGACCCTTTCTTCAACAGCTGAAAACATCTGTTTTAGGCATGTTTTCTGAGCAGGCCGTTATCTACATCTCACACAGTTCTGCTGGACTTGGCAAAGCAATGCCATTCAGGACATGTGCTGAGAGCCAAGAATATCCAGTGTCTTTTGAATTAACATTACATGCTTCAGCTGCTTTTAACAGGTGGGACAGATATAAAATCAGTACATAACCTGATATCCAAGGCTCTTCTTAAAGACATATTTATCTTTTTTTTTTTTGAGGAAGTGTTTCATGGTACAAGCAAATAAAACCCAGGGAAATAACATTTTAATCCGACACTGAAATTACTGCGTCAGCCTTGCAGCTTTACATTATTGTATCACAGAATTACAGAATGATTTTCAGATTGGAAGGCACCTCTGGTAGATCATCTAGTCTAGCCTTCCTGCTCAAAGCAGGGTCAACCAGAGCAGGTTACTCAGGACTGTGTCCAGCTGGGTTTTGAATATTTCTACAAGGATGGACACTCCATAATCTTTCTGGGCAAGCTGTCCCAGTGTTTGATCACCTTATAGTAAAATAAAAAACATCTTATGTTTAAATGGATTTTTCTTGTATTTAAGTTTGTGGTTATTGCCTCTCATCCTGTCACTGGGCACCACTGAAGAGAGTCTAGGCCTGTCATCTTTACTCCTCCCGTCTGGTATTTGCACATTGATAAGATCCTCACTGAATCTTCTCCTCTCCAGGCTGAACAGTCCCAGCTGACTCAGCCTCTCATATATGTGAACCTCCAAACCCTTAATCATCTTCATGACCCTTTGCTGGACTTGCTCCAGTACGTTCATCTTTCTCTCATACTGGGGAGGCCAGCACTGGACACAGCACTCCAGATGTGGTCTTACCAGGGCTGAGTAGAGGGGAAGGGTCACCTCACTCAACCTGCTGGCAACACTCTACCTCATGTGGCCAAGGATGCTGTTGGCCTTCTTTGCTGCAAGGGCGCGTTGTTGGCTCATATTCACCTTGGTGCCCACCGGGACTCCTGGGTAATTTTCTGCCAAGCTACTTTCCGGCCCATTAGCCCCAGTCTGTACTGGTGTGTGGGGCTACTCCTCCCCTGGTGCAGGACTTTGCATTTCTCTTCTACTGTATTTTTTCCTGTGTTACGCATATGAGAGATCTCCTCAAATGGTGCACAAAATCTTGATCAAAATAGTGGGGTTTAGCTACGATGGTTACAAAAATACATTTTAAAGTTATTATGTATATGTTTCCTCTTTATAATTCACGTTCAGTGTTGCTCACAGGCTGAAACTGTGAAAGGGATGTGATGTTAAATGAATACCCTAAATTTCCTCCTCAAAATGTCAATATGATTTAGAAATCTTCTAACATGTCTCCCAAGCTTCAGGTAGGCATGCAGTTTTTCCAAAGCTGACAACTGGAACTTATAATGCTAGAAACTAAATACTATGAGAAAATAAATATTCTCTTTTTATTGGATAAAAAGTACCCTTAAAATGACTGACACTGATTTTGCCTGCAAGTTTTCCTCATTTCTCCAGTAAGTCTGGTTCATAAGACCGTATCGTACCTCGAACAAAGACATAAGCACTGTACTCTTCATAGTAGTCTCCCATCACCACACGTAGAGTGTAAAGACCTTCATCTTCTTTGTTTGCGTGAGTTAGTGTTAATGAAGCTCGCTCCCCACTCCAATGCATCTGGACCCATTTGGATGGTGTAATAAGAACACCTAGAAATTAAAGAATTTTATAATGAGAACTGGCTGAGTCTACAAAGGAATACATCGGAAATGCAGTGAATACATTGGAATAGATTGGAAATACTGAAGAGACTATGCAACTTTCTATTTTCAAAGACATCATAAATTATACCTAATTCTGCTCTCATGCCAGTTTTGTCTTCATTTGCAAAGTCTAACTTCAGAGAGCAACAGTTTTTTATCAGCTGTTGCACAACAGCTTTGTGCAATTACTTAAAAAATGTTTTAACATATGAATAAATAGTAAAAGCTATATGGGCTATATAGTTACTGTCACATCAATGTTGGAGCTGGCCAGAATGCTTTTAATTCTAAAATTTGTAAAAGAAAGAAAAAAAGGCTAGCAGACATTTTCACAGCCCTCCTTCCCTCCATTTTCTAACTAGGGAGCTCATTATTTTCACTTCAAAATGGAAATTATGGAAAACTTTGAATTGGAAAAGAGAAAATATTACTATTTGCAAAACTGAGAAAATGATGACCAATTCACAACATTCACATATACTGAAATAAGCAAAGATCTAAGTCAAAGAAGTTTGTATTTCTTCTTGTCAAACGTTCTCACCATTTCTGTACCATTCGATGTCTGGTTTGAAGCGCTTAATATCAGGACTGATGACAACTGTGCAACCCAGACTCATTGTCTCGCCTTCTCTCCCAAAGGCGACATCAAACTTGTCAACAAAACTGATTTCGAATCTGGAAGCATATCCATGCGGGGTAACACCAACTGTGTAAAGGAAAAAAATCTGGCTGTTTACTTTTCCTTTTTTTGTAGTGGGAATAGTAAGCAAAAGTACCCAATGATTATGAATAGGGTCTCAGGTAAAACATAAGATATAAATAGAAAAAATATAAATTCAGTAAATAGTATTCAGAAGTAATTGCAATGTCAAATAATACAAGCGCTTGCTATCACAGAGAATCAGTTGATTTCTTTAATCATACAACACGAGTTCTTACAGCCAGCTCATTTCACTAGGGAAGGGCTGCTTCAGAATTTCATTCCAGAATTCTCCAGAATTTCAGATCCAGAATTTTATCGTTTGATTAAATGAATTATTTAATAACCTTAGCATACTTTTACTTATGACGAATGATTTGTTAAGATCAAGTTGATCTCTAGCTTAAACAGCTCTTCTCTTTTCCTGTCCAACTCTTTGCTTCCTTTCAGGACAGTCATGTGTTCACTCAGCCTTCATTTTGATAGCTTAAACAAGTCTTTTTTGGACTCTTAACATAAAATAAGCCCTCCATTTCCCTGGACATTTGGGTAGCCTGTTTCTGTACCTGCTCCTGATTTTATCTTCCCTGCTATTGTATGACTTGAGTTAGGCAGTATTCCACACAGATCTTGTTAAGCGCTTTATGCTTGCCCTTCACGTACATGGTATAGGTACTTCCATAATTATTCTGATAACACCTCAGCTGATAAAACCTAAGGTCACATTTCCTTCTTCCACAGCTGACTTACACTGATAGCCCACAGCCTTCCTGTGATCATTGAATATATGTAGATCTTCATCTTCCTTTCCCGTCACAAAATGATAAATCTCAAATTGTATTGGAAGTTCACGGCTTAACAGTTTGCAATATTGTGTATAATCTTATTTCTGTTATTTCAGAGACATCTTGTGTGCCTTTGCAGCACATCCCTCATTCTATTTGTGCTGCTACAATAAAAGAAATGTCCGTGAAACTCAGCTTTCAAGCCTTCCATGCGCAAGGCCCCTGTGGCACTTTAACACGTGTTGTATGAAGGTGAGTGGATTTTCTTAACATTTCCCTTCATGGAAGTATTTATGCAATACCATATACCCCTTCAAAATGTGAGACCAGGTTCTCAGGTAAAACAAATTACGATTTCTACACCGATATACCCAAAATATTCCAATTTGGTTCTGCCTATGTGATCTTTGCTATGCATCTTCACAACATATGGAATCACATAGACAAGAACTATTAAGTCACCTAGTCTGCTCATGAACATGCACCCCTAGCCTCCTATCCAGGCTGTATTTTACATTTTGCAGTAGACAGAGAGTCCCTCTCTTCCTCTGATAGAGTTTATTCCAGAGTCACCTCAATATTAAAAGGACTGTCATAAAATATCCTCTCAGTGTGTATTCTTGTATTTCAGCAAGAACAGTACATGTTTCTTATACAAGTAAATACAAACAGCCACAGACCCAGAAGGTAACGCCATTTTCACTAATAGATAAGGCTAACACCATCTGAAATTGTAGACTTCAATACCTTTGTAAATCAGACCTATTTTCTTTTTAAATAACGTTACGAAATATTCTGCTTAGTCATTTGGCACGATGTCACAACTGTAAATGGATTTGTCAAACAAACAACTTACGGCTCAGAGGCATAGTAACAGTTCCAGCATGGAGAAGACTTGCATCAATTTCTCCTTTGTACCCTGGATGCACATACAAAAACAGAGCAACTCTAGTCACTATCAGCTGAAAGTAAAAGCACTCTGAGCCACAGCAATGAAACTGTAAGGTACATCTTACAAAAAAATCAGATGAAAAGTTTTGCAAACCTACTCTTTACCACAAGGGATGCATAAGCCGACATTTCTCCTTTAATATTCATAGCAGAAGCATGATACTGAGCAGTGTCTTCAAAATCACATCTAGAATGACATAAATAATTAGGCAGAGGACCCGCTACTCTTTATTGAAGATACACCCCGCCAAATCTATATTAAATCTATAAGCAAGTAAAAATTTGGGAGTCAGACCCACTGGACACTGGATTGATTGTAGCCCTTAAGTTTTTCTCAATGTTAAAAAGCCAATGTTTTTAAAAAATGGCTCTTTTCAAATATCACTTACAGATCTGAAACTGAAAATATAGAGGAAGTAGGAAAAAAATGGCTGATAATATTTATCTAAGTTATCTCTAAGTTATTGTCTCCTATGGAGAGATGCTTAATATGGAAGCTGTTGAAATGGTAGATATCATAAGCTATTTTCAAATGACAAATTTCATTTGTATATCATATGGATATTTAAATGACTCTCTTGGCACCCAGTAGGGTCTAGGTGGAGAAGACGACAGAGCTGATCGTCCAGAATTTGGTGATTAGCAGTTCAACGGTTATTAACACAAGTGACTACAAACATTTCCCAGGTGGAGAATGCAGATGAATAGCGCTAAAAGTCTTTCTTGTGTGAGGACTCCTCGATTCTGTTCATCATTTCAGTAAGAATCAAGAACTTCACTGCATTTGAAAGATGGCTATCTCATATATTTTTAGCCTAAACTTGATTTTTCTCATGTTTAACTGCACATATGGCAGAGAAAAATGGGAAAAGTAATCACAAGTGTCCCATATGTTTCTGACTTCTTCATAAATGGAATAATAATCCAGATAAATTTACTCATTTAGGTACATTGCTTATCCTCTACTGATGAAAACCAGAGCTGCTTCACCATTTAGTAGATAGCATTCTCAGCTGTACAAACTTGATAGCTCTTGTCCTTACATCCCCAAGAGATATGTACACATTTTACAGGTCTCAATCTATAGCAGCACTTCAGCTTAAGTTACTTATTAAATTATCTGGTATTCCCTTACGTGCTAATCTCCAGTGAATGCAGTCCATATCGACTTTCAATGATATACTTGCCAGGGGGAGTTTGTACATTGATGGGCACGTTGTTTTTGTACCTATGGAAAAACAAAGCAACAGTATGTCACAAACAGAAGCATAGAATCATATACTTTAACAGGTCAAGAGTTGGTGTTTGGAATATAATATTAGCCTAGATATTTCTCTTAGATAAATCATAGTTTAATATCTGGGAAATACATCACATATCTTTGGAAGCCTGACTTCTTTCTCTCTCTCTCTGTCTCTGCCTCTCTCATTCTCTCGCTCTTCCCCCGGCCTCAGATGAATTTTATTTTCTAGTTTAAGGAAACAAAATAGCCTTGAACAGGAGGAAAGTCAGCTTATATTACCATGACTTTCAAGTTACTCCTTGTCTAGGAATGGAAGAATCACATGAGCAACATTCCAAATTTTTGTGAATCAGCAACAATAAAAATTCTGTAGCATCCTTACCCACTAGATATTTTGCACATTTTGTTTGGCTTGCGTATTTGATCTACTTTTAAAACCTGCATATTCACAAAAACGTCAGTAGAGAACTACCTTTTTTTTTAACTTGCACAGTTAAGTTGGCAGAAGCCCTGATGCATATACAGAACAAACTGGTGATATAACAATGGAAGTCTAATAAAATTAACACAGAATTGCATTTGGTACGTTGTGATTGATTTGAAGAGGTCTGTGAGGAAAGAATGTTCCCTAAGACAGTGAATTCATTTAACGTAGCTTTCCTTGTGCTGCTTGAGGTGCATATTAGGGAATGGAAATATAAATGACTATAGATAAAAATATCTTCATGTCTTTACTGAACATAGCTTAACCAAGCTTTTTTTTTATATATAAGTCATAATAAATATCCATCCAAAAGCATTTTGCTTCTTCATTTTTGATTTAAATGTTAGTTTCTCTCGTGACTTTCAGTTAAGGAAGGGGACCGGTCCATTATCAGTAGCGTGTCCCACTTCACCAAACAAGTTAGGAATATGCAATTTCATTTTTATGAAGAATATTATTAGTTTAATATATCTCAAGATAAAGCTACAACTGCAATAAATCTAAAAATTGCCTTCCAGCACTTTCAGCATTTCCTCTACCCTCTATTCCACACTTCAAATAGTAGCAGAATTTTTTGTCTCCGTTACAGATCTGCTGTTGCATTATCCTGAATTGAAAGAAGTAATAATACATAGGTCAACTAAGAGTAAATCCATTACCACCACTCTTCACCTAATTTGTGCAATAGTGCTCCCCAGACTGATCTGCCTGCGAACATCTGTGCATCTTTATAATCCATGTGCTGTGCCAAATAGCCTAAAAAATAGAATAATGTCATCAGATTTTAACGTTTTTCAGGGAATATGACTACGTGCGCTCGGTCTCTGACCTGCTCTATGAAACAGGACTTGACACCATAGTCTCTTAAATGTTCCTCCAAAGGGCTGGGCGCCCCTCTGATTCTGGGCACAGCGAGGGCATTTATTAGCATGCAGAGCTACGCAGAACCAAGTTTTGACTGAGTCAGGCCAATATTTAGAAGATTTTCACTTCTTTTATCTCCATTATCAGATTAGTAAAAAATAATTGATTCAGTTTTCACTTGTTTACATTCCTCTATGGAAAGAATAGAGCTTACGCATTAGAAGGACCACTCGTTATTTCTGGAAATACAGATTCCAGAACAGCCACGTCATTACCTAATGCTGGATTGCAACCTCCCGCTGTCATTATGCACTAATAGTTTATGCTTTCTGCTACTGGTTTCAAGTGTCGTCGATTTTCCATATGTTTTTTCCAAGGCAGTAAGAACAACTATATCACACTGTAAGATTTTCTTTAGAGAAAGTGCATGAGATTTAAAACTGATCATGCACAGCATGAAAAGGTCTTCATTGCTTATACAAAAAATGACTATTCGGAATACATGACTGACATTTAGTTAGAAATGCTGAGTGAAAACTGACAGATCCAGGCCAGCGCTGTTCTGAGCAAAGCCACCTGCTAAAATGGCAGTGCAATCACTTTTTCCATTAGTAGCCCATTGCAAAGTAAAGTCCTTTTGGAGTTTAAATGCACAGTAAAAAAACATACTAAATTCCACCATCCACATTTAGCACTTTGTTGAAAGGCTGGTTCACTTCAATAAGCGCAAAGGCAAATAGCACAAGGCTTGGTTTAACCACGTCAGGTTTTTGGGATAAAGTGAATCTCAACAAAAGTGAAAATGGTTCAGACCTTTTTTTTTTTTTGGTTTGGATTCAGATTATAGAGGTGGTTTACAGCTATGACCGTAAATCCTAGGCTGACCGTTGCTTATGTTCAACCGAGATCAGATCTGAAACATTTGTCTGGAATCCTCTCTGAGACGAATGTCAAAGTTGAGCACTTACAGCTCTTATACAACTGGAAAAATGTGTTCATGCAGAGATGACTATTGGTGGTTAAAATTTAAGAAAAGAGATCAAGTGACTGCTGGGCATCAGGTGTGGCCTATTAATGTGCTTTCAATGTACTTTTTGTCAAGTCCTGATACTAAGGTCTTGTAGGTATTGAATAAATACAGATTCTATTAAGTAATTCAAATAGTAAACTACAAACCAGGAATATTACTTAACATCATGATATAGTAGATGTTTCCTATAGTCTCTACAAACAGAATCTCTACAATAATGACTTATAATTAATGTGTAATGCTAATGTAGTTCTATTCTTTGTTCGCTTTACATATGCATTATGGAAGAATCTTTTAAATTAAAAACTGAACATCAAATCTCATTTCACATTTGAAAAAAGTCATTAACTATTATCTGAATAACTTGTTCATACCTGTGAGGCACAAATCAGATAACAAAGATCAAAGATCAAGATGGTGAGATAGTAAGGCTTCACAAGTCAATAAGCTAAATTAAATTGCAGGCTTGGCAAACTTTAACCCAAGACTCAAATTACACCTTCAGCCATGTCCAAGGGTTTATTTTGGAGCTCTTACAATGAAGGCTTGGTCCAAAGACATTTCAAGTGAATAGAAAACTTCCAATGGACTCCAAAGCTTTCAGTAGACTTGGATGGCCCTAAATCCATCCATGGCCTTTCACTTCAAATTATTATGATGTATTCCCTGTAAACACCCTGCACCATGAGATTTCAATTTCACTGAGACTGAGTACTACAACTGCTCAGCAGCTAAGCACCTATTTCTTCGCAAAAGCATACATTAATGCTTCAGGGACATCAACAGCGTTTGTACAGTACACGGAAGCCTTTAGAAAGCATCCTCTTAAAGAAAGCATTGATGATATCTTATACTGCTATTTTTCCCTCCTCAGAAGACAGAAAGAGTATTTTGGATGTCGCTATGAAAACTATATACATATTTTTATCTATGTATCCGTATTGTTAAGTTTTTCTGCAAAGAGATGTTTTGCCTTTTAGTATTTTGCTTCCTTTTTGTACAAGGTACCTAGAAAGGTGTTTACAATAAAAAAGGGTGGCCTCTATATTGATCTTATATCTTTACTGAAAAAATACCCCATTCACTAAGATAACTTTGGATATTGGTTATAAGGTGACTTTCAATGATAGAGATACAAACCTACCATGTAACGTGGGGTTCTGGCCAGCCAGCCACGGTGCAATGAAATTTGACATTTTGCTTTTCCCAGACAGTGTGAGAACGAGGCTTGATAATAAACTCGGGAGCATGTAGAAGTTTATCTTGATTCAACTTTTTGTGGAATGCCTGAGTATCTTCTAGCTGGAAAAGAAACGTTTCATCATAAACTTCAGCACTTATAAGTGCAAACTATCTGTACTCAAAAGCATTTTTGGATACTTTTGAGAGAAGAAAAGATTTTAAAACTGAGATAGACACACTTAATGTGTTTATATCACTTGGAGACATGAAATAATATTTTTCACCTTCAAGATGTTCTCCTTTCAAAACAACTAGATTTGGAGTTTGGGGTTTTTTGTTTATTTTTTTCCTTAGGACTATTCTAAGTAAACTACTTTTCCACATTTAAGTCTTGTTTTTGGAATACAAAATAAAAGGTGAAATCAGTCTCAAACTCAGATATCCTCTGTACACCTTTTCTAACACAAAATCATCTATGCCTAGAACATCCCTGACAGACCTGCTCTCAAACCTTTCTTGCTAATGGGATCTTTCCTCCTCCCAAAGAAACTGTTTCAACTGTTCGACTATCCATAGAGTTAGTAAAAAAAAATGCTAACTTTGCCCTAACTTTCATATGTATGAAGAATTGCAGCTCCCTTAAGGTTACTAAAAGAAGACAGTTTTCATAATCTTCTCAGTTTTTTATAAACTACACAATACCTATTTTCCTTACAATTGTTGTTTCTCACCTCTGAAGACGTTTCACTTGTCCTCAGCGTTCGTAAAATGCTAACTACTCACTGTTGTATCACAGATCCCACAGTTTCCAATAAAATTGAATAATTACCTCCTGTGTTTTCATTGCAAGACTTCTGTTAATGCATTCTAGAATGGCATTTATATTTTTACACAACGGAATCATGGTTTTTACTAACATTAAATTTATGACCTGTTATAACTCCCAGATCCTCTAGTACTTATATATAGCCAGGCATTCCTCATTTATTTGTTCTTTTTCTTCTGTATGTAGTAATTTCCATATTTTTAATCAAATTTCACCTTCAGACTGTTTCGCAGTTTTTCAAGATGATTTTGAATTCTTACCTTGTCCTTCAAAGTGTTTATAACCTTTCCTACCTGTTGTCACGAGCATATTTTGTAAGCATACTGTCAATTCTTCTGCCTAGAATATTAACAAATTCACTGAATAAAACATGTCTGCACTTGGCATGTTCCGCCAGGCTGGCCACAATGTATTTGCCACTACTCTCTGAATACTATTTTTTAACAAGTTGCTCAGTAATGTTAAAACTAGTCAAAATCAGAGATTCCGTTCTAGACGTCCTTCACAACTCCCTCCCTAACTTACACACTGATTCAAACTCTGTGTTAAGCGTTTTGGACAAAGGTGTTCCCAGTCCGTAAAACAGCCACCACCCTCTTATGGAGAAGCGTTACCTAGAGAGTGCCTCATAATTCAGGGGAACAATGCTGTGCCATTTCGATAGGCGTTGACACAACAAAATACTGGTCCCCTGTCCTGATCTCCCTCCCTCCCTCCCAGCATAACTGAAGAGTTCCCGCCGCTTACCGGAGACACTTTTCTCATCCACCTAATACCAAGATAATAATTGGCTTTTAAGCCATTGAAAATACATTTCACTGTTTACTGTTGTTACTGTGGTTGCCACTGGTGTTTGTAGACCAGGGCCCGGTTGTGCCAGGCATGTTACAAACACTGAACAAGAAAGACCCACGCTGTTTGCAGTCAAGGTGTTCGTTTCTATGTTTTTACCGTTTTCTTCAGGGCTACACGTTCAGCAGACTCCCGAATTGCTACTTTCCTTGATTTTTTTTCATGGTGTTCTTCTTCAGAGGCTGAAGTGGCCACTTTGCTCACACTAACTCCTTCACCTTTAGCCAAAAGGTTCCTTCTGGCAATGTAGGCAGCGCTTTCTTTGATTCTTTCTTCTTCTGTGTCTGTGATCCCACTGATACTCACTTCACTGAAAGAATTTTCAAAAAGCAGAATCCCGTTGGAAAATGGTGAGAATTATCAGGTTAGCCAGCTACAGTGGATGTAAAAGGAAGGGGCCACCATTTTTTCACAGTGTATTTCTACTTTGAGGATCACTACCCGTACAACAATCTCATATGTATTCAAAATAGAAGCACAGAAGGCTACTGCAGAATGGTAGAGCATTTCAATGTCTGAAGCCAGAGACACTTGCAGTGCTTCTCCTGATAAGTGTGTCATGCACGTTTTCAGTGTAATGATTCTCCTGCTGTAGTTCTCCATTGCTATAAAGATTAGCATAAGGCATACCCTCAGATTTGTCGGGCTTATATTTCAAATATTGACTTACTGCTATGGCATTTGTTGTAACAACACCAAAGCGGGCAGGAGATTGTAGCTGCACAACAAGGTCCTCATTTTCAATTTATACAACATCAGCATCACAATATATCACAAAACTTCTCTTTGTTCATAGAAAATTCAGTTCTTTTATGTTTGTAGGCTGCTTGTTCTTCCAAATGCTTTCAAAAAGAAGACTTAACGATTTCTGATTCTTTTATTTCCTTGCAGTATCCCCCTCAGGCTTTCTACAAAGGGAGGATACAAAGAACTGTTACTCTCAATGGGTCCAATCTTATTTTCACACACGAATATGGAAGTACCACTGCCGCTAAATTGTTTTAACACTGTCAGGACATCACAGCTGCTATAGGAGTGCATATAAAATGAGAGTTCCTTAACCTAAGGAGAAGCACTATTATTTTTCTGCAGAGTTCAGTTATTTTAGGATGACATAAGATTTCAGAATGAAAAGAGGTTTTATTTAAGTACTTGTTAAGTATCTTCTTGCAGCTCTAGCAGCTGCTATTTATTTCTAGAATGTGGTTAAGCTAGGCTTACCATTTTATCATAACACACTTTACTGCTACAACTGCAAAAGATTAGTAAAAATGATATTCTCTGTTTTTTCAAGATTGGTAATATTATGCATTTGCTAGCACATCTCAACACTCAGGAAAGTTTGGATTTATCCCAAAATTAACTATAACCCTTTATCTTTGGGTATGTTGTCAGTTCAGTGAGAAGCAAGATAGCCAAGCAGTGGAATGTGCTGTAAAATTAACTGCTCATAAAAATTCCTCAGAAGGCTAAAATACTTATTTAACAGCATAGAGCTTTGCCTTCTCGTGTTTAGACTCTGCCTTGAACTTTCTGTGTCTCAAGCCACTGTAACAGGAGGAGCCTAATAGCTATCAACAAGATGGTTCCCTTCACTTAGACACATCAGCCCTCACCCCCACAAATATCATCTGAAGCTACAGAAATAGAATAGAGATTTCTAAAGATAATTTTGAAAACTCAGTTTAATAAATATGAATGTAGCTATCTATATTCAGTTTAAATGAATCAGTGGCAAGCTGATAGTAATTCCTCCTTAACTGCGATACTTAAGATCCGAGCAACTGCTTAGTATGGGCTTGATCCTCAAGGCATAAAGCGTCTTCTGAGAGCTGATGATTATCCTCAGGCCAATACAGGACTCAGCCTAGACCTTTACAGTACTGGTCCCCAGATGGTGTGGATCAACAGTATTAAATATTTAGCTTTGCTATTGAAAAATCATTTCTTCATGTTATAATCTGCACAGATCAAAGAGAAACAGTTAATAGTCCCTGAAATTATGAAGTGTATCAGAAGCAACACATAATCCATTTAAAAATTGATTCTGCAGTCAAGTCTCAGTGGTTTCAGTAGAAAATACTTATCAGAGATGAAGGACCAAACCAAAAAAGGATCAAGGATAAATATAAAATATTATTGCATGGATATCTGCTACATGCAACCCTCTGGCTTAGATTCATTAGTGGGAAAGGGCCATATCCACTATCGATCATCTTTAGCACTTACGGCACTAAATCAAGCCCTGGGTGTTTTACTCTCTAAAAAACTGGCTAGCTGTCCCTAATTTCATCTTGCAAGGATTAGGCTAGGCATTTAAGCAGAGCAGTTATGGACTGCATACTCTGAGTTAGAGAATTTTTGCAAAAGAATTTGAAAGCTCTGAAATAGAATCAAATAATGGAAACAGTGACACAGTGCTGAAGGTCGTCCAGCAGTGTGGGTATCAGCTCTGTTGAATGCACAGAGTGACTTTTATAAATAACTGTTCCTTGTAAAAGCTATCTGCTCATGGGAAACAACACATCAGTTTCACAGGAGAATCTGGGAACGATATATAACACGTGCATGGTTGAATCAGTTTCAGCTGTTATCTTTCAAGCAAAAATAAATATCTGGCAGTAATGTAGTATGCAGCTTCCATAGTTTTGGCACACAGTGGTGAACATGATGCCAATAAAAAAACATAAAACAGACCTGTCCCCCAACCCTTTCAACCCCCCCCAATCACTTCATACCATGTTGAGTTGGGCACTCTATTAAACTCTAAAAAACATTATATGCCATTTTTATACTTTTAAACTAATTACAAAAAATCTACAGCATCTTATAATATCGGATCCCAATGTACTATACAGATATGGAAAAATGAAGCTACATGCCATGACACTGAGTTAGATATTACTGTATTCATTTTACAAAAAGTAAACTGAAGCAAAGGAAGGTCATGACCTGTTAAGATCACAGGAGCTAGCATAAAAGTAAAAACCAAAATCCAGAAGTAGCAGCCATCATTCATGATTTCCAGCTATTAACTAGCATTTTAAATTTTACTCTTGTAGAATAAAAAAAAAGGGTAGCACATAAATAAATAAAAATAAATAAATAAATAAAAGAAAAAGGAATAAATAAAAGAAATAAAGACATAGAAATAAAGAAAGAAATAAAGAAAGGAATAAAGAAAAAGCATAAATACAAAGGGAGCACATTTGTGTTTGATATCAGGAGAGACAGATAACAGAGAAAAGCAAATCTACTGCTGCTTAAGCAGATATGCTGGGTGAAGCACACAGGTAATGAGAAACCCTGAAACTGTGTTACTGCAAGTTTTGCATGAGATATATTTATATATCTCTATCATAAAAGATATACTCCAAAGAAATGGCTTAAAAACGTGACAGTGTGTGCTTCTGAATGTGGCTGGATCAAAGAACAATGAATCTGACACAGAAATGTACAAAGGATAAGTGAAAATGGCTCCATAATGGTAGGAGAGAAGGAGTAGAAAAACTTCTGGTCTCATCACAAAAGCAGAATGCTCAAACGGCAAAAGCAGTAACGTCTCCCACTAACAAGGTGGAACTCAAGAGTTTCACATGAAGGCACAAGTCTGGATGCACAGCAGAAATGACATTGTTTCTTGTATGCTGATTAAGCAGTAGATGTTAGATCACTGCCTTCCAGAAACAGCTTTAAAATGTTTCAGGAGAAGCGCTGTGTTGCAGAAGAAAGACAAGTCAAAGAGAGGTTCTGTTCGAGTGCACGTGTGCAAGAAATTCTTCTCCTGGTCTCCAATCAGGAGTTAGTCTTCCATACCACACCCTCGTACGTGTTAATCTGAACAAATAACTACGCTTGAACTGTCAGAGACTCATAATAAATCGTTATGCCATATCCCCAAAAGGGTAGGGGAGCATTCTTGCCTGCTTTGGTTCCAGCTTCCGTAAAAAGTTCATATTCAGCTTCGCTTAGGACAGTTCTGCAGTAAAATGTATTGTATCAGTAGTAGCCTTGCAACAAGCACCACCAACACGTGAGATCAGTATGGATCATTATGATGGATTTGGGAAATCAATTGGTTTAATTCCAGATTTTTCCTTTGCCAGGACACAACATTAGCACGTTGTTGTGGTCTCCTTATGTTTAATGCTTAGTAAAAGACTTTGAATTACAGAGCAAGTCTTCAAACCAAAAGAGTAAGATAAATAATATGGACAATGTTTGGCCAGTTCCCAGTAGGCAGGGTACATGACCTACAAGTATATCTTAGTTTCATAGAAAGTGGTCATGTGTGTGAAACTAAGTCCAGACACCTAGATATCTGTCCTTGCTCGGGAAGCTGTCTGATACGGGGCCCGTCAGTTAATTTCTCACTGTCTTTTTTTTACTCATGTAAAGTGCAAACAATCATCAATTTGAGATCCAGAAGTGTAAAGAGATGAATGGATTTTGTTATTTTACGATTTGTTAATAAAGTGTCAGAAGTAAGATACCAAACAAAAGGAAAATGAACATACCGTCCTGTGAATATAGGCACTGAGTAGTCCATGGCTTTGTTCTCTTTGTCCTCAGAGATTAAACTCTGTTTTGCTCTCTTTGCTTTGGGACTCATCCTATAGGACTGATCTTCAATCATTATATTGGAATCTTTCAGCCTGAAATAAAAAGGATATTGTTAAATTCAGAAAGAATAAGCTGTTAAAAAACACTCAGAAAGTAAGATTAAAAAACTATGAATTTTTGCTCATGATTGAGAAGCAACAAAAATAGCATTTTTAATTACTGTGGCTTCAGAGTTATTAAAAACACATAATTAAATACACTTTTTATGAAGTGATCATGACAGACACAACACTGGGACTTGAAGAGTTTGTGCACCTTGTTTTTGGCAGCTACTCACACTGTCTTGTAAGACAACAAACCCTCACTGATATCAACTGCAGCATTGATTTCCGAGGTGTTCTCTCTGATAAGAAGTGAATTCAGGCTATCAGCTCCAGTCACTGAGACCACTGAGTAATTCTGAAGATTGTACTGATTGAACTAGTGGCCTCTCCTTTTCAAATCCAAGTCCTGAAACTGTCTGGTTCCCAACCAAAATAATGTTAGTGTGCAAATACATTCAAAATGATAATGCTTTTAAATCTCTACAGAAATTGTAGGGCAACATATTGCTCAGCAGCTGGTGTAGCCATTCCCACTGCTCTCCCACACCACCTAATCCGTGGAAAACGGAGTTGAGTGAAATAATGTCGTTTAATATAGCACAGGTAGATGGACAGAGAGTAGAAATAAAGAAAAGCAAAGCAAAAGAAAGACTTCCCCTCCCCATCACCTTGGGAAAGTTTCTGAAGGCTATCAATCAAATGTATCTGAGGAAGTCATATTTGGGTTCATTTTTAACATAAGTACACATTGTATTAACAGATCTCCAGATACCTTCCTTCTTCTTTCCAAATGCAATACCAAATCTGTTATTCACAGTTTAATGTCTTAGAACTGGAATAGCCTAATTAGCTGTCAACTCTTCAAGGACCCTAAGTCCTTGAAGTGCCCTTTCATCTCCAGTTCAACTAAGGAAATCGTATGTGGGTCTGCTTTTGGACTGGAGGTTTGTCTATGTGGCTGGCATAAGCTCACCGCTACGCACAGCTACCTGACCAGAATTAGGCACGACATTTCTCAGCAAGGCTTATTAGTCCGGATTATACCACACTGACATAGCAAACCTTCTTCCAGTAGCGTAGGTAGCCTGCTCTGATATCTCTATGCAGCATTCTTTAAACATATCTGTGATCATCAAGATTCATACTAGCACTAGGCCCCTGAGGATGTAACACATAATAGATTGCAGGGATATACCTGGGCTGATGTTTTCTTTAGGCTGCAGCCCTGCAAAGGTACCAAGCTCCAGAAGTGCCACCAACACAAGGAAGATTCTCTAAATTTCCAAAATACGTGTTAATACTCCATCCATGTGGGACTACACGTGTGAGATCATACAACTTCAGCTTTATTCTCCCATCTGTCTCTCCTTAATTTCTTTATGCCTGTTCCTTTGTTCAGCCTGAGTTCTCTCTCTGTATCCCAGCTCCTGCTAAATGAGTCTCCACTCCACTAGCCCTCTTAATGGCTTAGTTATTTTCATCTATTCTTCTTGCTCTCATTCCTTGTCTGAACTTCATATTTCCTCCCACTTCTGAACTTCATATTCTCCCCCTGCATCAGGCCTTCAGCCCTAACATCTCTGCTCTGCCATTCCCAACACTGTCAGGAAAAATTTCCCATCCTTTCGGCCAAGTCCCAGCCTCATCAGACGTGACTATATTTGGCTCACCCTAGCACTGCAGTGAGGCAGCCATCTCTTCTGTGCTTCCTGGGTGGCTGCATTGCAGCAACTGTCACCGCGCACACAGCGCCGTGGCCAGGAAACGCTCTGTGTGGGCTGGAGGGGAAACAAATGTGCACCAGTTCTTTACCTTCCTTCTTCCTCACCCTGTACCCTGAAATACAATTACATCCAGACAGGGACTACGGCACACATGGCACAGCTAGGAGCCAGGATATACCGTGGCAAGCAGCAATGGGTAAGCTGAGGCAGAGCCCGAGTCTATAGGAGAGAGAGGCTTTCTGCTCTTGGGTCTGATGCCAGGTACTGCCAGAAGACAGCAAGGGAGGGAGTCCAAAGGAAGCGGAGCCAACTCGAGAGACAGAAATCCAAGCATAAACACTTAGCAGTAGCCTAGGCAGAGTAATAAAAAAGCGGAAGAGACAGCATGAAGCAGGATTTACAAGGGCATCATTCCTGGGTTTGGGAATGATTTAATACAATCACTACAGCCAACCGCAAATGCATTGAGACAAGTCATCATCAAATAAGTGGGGAGAAACATCAAACACAAAGTATTTTAATTAGTTTTCATAAATGAACAATGCTCTATAAGGAACTGAAGTTCTTAGGATGACTTTTATTCTTGTCCTGTTTTAAAATGGGACAAAGCTGGAATTTTGAATATTAATTCCTTCAGGTTTCCACGGAGCTTTAGACTGAATCCTTTAGGAAGCCATTTGATTCCTGGTTGTTTCCGGATCTAGAAGGATCACAGCATCATTTGGACCTCAGTTTAAATGTCAAGAAGTTTCTATTTTCATAAAGGTAGAATAAATGTGGTGAAAATCTCAGTTCAAGTGTTTTCAGCACTATCAAATCCAAGGTTACTCTTCATTCCTAAAGTAGAACTTGGATGACAAGCCAATATTGAATATGACCTTCTTGACTAGCATCTATTTTTTCAGTTTTGATCCAGATGTTATACCCCTATAGGGAATTAACAGAGAGCATATATAGCAGATCCTTTCACCCTCAGCCAGGCCTTTGGCTGATATCTTTTCTATACTTTTTTTTTTCTTTAGAGAGCTTTACCTCTCTAAAATTATTTGAAAAGGAGAGAATAAATTGCTTCAGCCTGTGTTTTTTTATCAAACACCCCAAATGTTTGAAGCTGAATATTTTTTTTTTTATTCCTTCCACATCTTGCATTATTGAAAAGTCACCCAAATCCTTTAGTTTAATGCCATGGATCTCCATCACAATGGAGCCTCAGAAACAGAAATGGAACTGGGACTTTCACTGAGATATGATGAATGGGATAAAAATACTGTACAAGCACTTCTTCCCCATAATTTTCCCACTCTGTCTGAGTTCTCTAAACCAGATGTCGTTTGATTGAGATGCGTTTCGCTGCAGCTACCTAGAAAGCTATGATTATTTTCCATATTCCTGGATCCTTCATGTTATTGCCTCCTTGGCTGACAAAGTGATCAGCCATTGTGTATGTGCTCAGGACCAGAAAAGCACCTTTCTAGACACCTTTTCCTCTCTTTTTCTTTCGCTTGAGGGGGCAGCTACAGTTAAGAGTTTGTGCTCTCTTCTAAGAGCAAGGATTACTCCCCAAAATTTTCTCGTGGTATGTAAGAGGGAGCATTCAGCTATCAAGAATAGAAATGATGATTGTGAATCAAATAATGGATCCATGTGGATCCTGTGATAATCTGTTGTTCTCAGAGAGCCTGACCGATTTACCTCACTAGTGTGCTCTTTCCAAAACGTGACCTGGACTAAGCTAGACCACCATGAGAACAGTTACATTAGATAAATCAAAGGGTGCTTTTAAACCAGTTTCCTTTTCCAGCAACGGGCAAAAATAGATAAAAAGAGAGTATGTGAAAGAAATACTTCCCTTGATAAAGCCTTCCAGTTTCAAGCAAGGTCCTAGGGACAACCTGAGCCAGAGGTTGCATCTGAATCGTCATATTTAATAACCACTATTGGACTCACTCATTTTTTGGATGGTCACAACATGCTCTAGCAGCGAGCTTATAACATATTTATTTATGAAGAAGGCACTTCCCTTTGAACTTGTTTTAAATCTGCTACTTTGCAATGTCTTTTGTGCTCACGTGCTCCTGGTGTGAAAAATATTGTTCCCTATTCACCCTCTTGCACATTTTTCACTGTTTTATACGTTGCTCTCACACCCTCAGGTTTGCCCCCCTTTCAAGGTAAAGAGTCCTAGTATCATAGCCTCTCTAGAGGGAAGGCATTCCAGGCATCCCACAACCCTCCTTGCTGATCTCTGATCCTTTCTAGCTTCAGACTGTCCTTTTAGAGCTGAGATGATCAGAACTGTGCCCAGTATTTCAGCTACAAGCACGCCTTGGATTAATGCACTGACAGAGTACGCTTTCTGTTTTATTTTCACTTTCTTTCACATCTTTCACTAAATTTCTAACTGCTTTGTGACCGTATCAGAGCATCCAGCCGGTGTTTTCAGAGAACTATCCGGAGTAACTCCAAAATCCTTTTCAAAATTGCACTGCATAAACCCAGAGCCATGCCGAATAAATTTGAAGTGGTTGAAAATGTTTCTCCTTCCCAAATCCTCGTACCAGTTGCTTCCATGGAGAGTGACCTTTATGGAGGCTAGCACAAATGCATATTCAAATGGAGCTGTTCTTCTGTGAAAGCAAATTGACCATTACTCTTACCATGAGGTTTGTTTTCCTGTGTTCCTTTTCTGTCATTCCTATTTCTGCCTGTGCAATATGAAAACTAAACCCTGCCTACAGCCATTATTTAGGTCGCTGAAGGGAGGACTCTACTTTCTTGAACCAGATTCTAAAATCCTGCCCTTTATTTTGAAATGTTCCAACCTTTTACCTGATATGTGGAACAGAATCTCCCCAGAGGAGGACGGAGCAGCTATCAGTGCTCTCTAATTTCACAGGGAGGAACGGTACCATGACCTTTTAACAGCTTTCAGCCTCATTTGATCTGCCCAGCTAGCGTATATATGCTTTTTCCAGGTCAGAGACTATCTGTGCTGCCTTATCAAGGTTGATGACCCAGGCTCAGTGTCCTCATTCCTTAGTGGTTTTCAGCATGTTAAAATACAATGCCAGCATTTTCTTAGTCTCCCAATAGCTACTGAATTTATGGAGTGAAACAGGAGTTGGATGGCTGTAAACGCTAAAGGCATAGATATCGTCCTGTAGAGATGTAAAATACAGATAGCCATTACATTACTACTAATTTTTCCCTCTAGTCCAATAAGGAACCTACATACAACAACATTGTGCAGAGTCTCTGAACCTCCCAAGCAAAAATTTTGCTTTTATGTCTTATTCTCAGATATAGACCTCCTTAGTCTGCTGGCAGTGCCCCGGTTTCTCTGCCTGAAGGGACATCGGCTTCCCACCCCGCACAGAGGGAGCCTGCACACAGTGGGTGTAGAAGGGTGCTCTGGGAGCAGACCACAGCGTCCTAATCCTTAGTCATTCAGCCTCAACAAAAAAAGGCACCTGTAAGCTCATTTACACATTTTCATCTGGAAAATCAAGTATCTTGTTCCCAGCATGCTTTCGTTATTTCTCTCTCTCACTTTAGTCCAACAGTAGAAAGGCCTGAATTTGGTGCACACAATAGCGGTACCAGCTGTGCCTGCCAGAGGAGCTCCATCAGCTAAGATGCCTTTTCCAGGATCTGTTTCCAGCTGCTTCTTGTCTAATTTGCAATGCCTGAACTTACACACTGTAAAGAGGAGAGGGTGGATCAGCAAACCCAAGTACAGAGAAAAAAAGAAAAAAGGATTTTCACAGGAGAGCGCTTTAAAGCCAGCTTCTAAAGATGAGAGGCGCTCTCCTATGACTACATTCAAGATGCTGACAGATTTGTCATGGGCCCAGGCAATATTGCTGGCAGTGATCACACTGTTCCCTAACACAGCTTCCATCAACAACAAAATTTTTTATAGGGTAACTACCTCAGTGTAGCAGGGCTCATTAAAACAATTTCCATGCTTGTGCGTGACATTTGGAAGCCTGCTTCTTTTAAATCCACACCTATAATAAACCAAAGGATAAGCAGTGCCAATAGGGATCTCAAGGTCGTGTATTTTTCTTCTCGTGTTTCTTATGGCCTTAAAGTGTATTATTTACCGAGCCCCGTCCTGATCCTAGTTACAGTATTTTGCTTGGAAAAGCATTCATTCCTACTATTTGGCAGTTTGATTAATTCCAGGTTAATAAGACGCTTCTCCTCCGCCTGCTTTGCCTGAATCAAGTCTCTGTCTCGTTCGCCTTTTTCCCTGACCTACAAATAACCATAACTGCCTGAGCCACATCAGCTACTTGCATTTTCTCTCTAAGCAAGTTGCTGGCAGTTAAGCAGCCTGTGACACAATTAGCTTTAGGTAGGATTGTCAGCTGCTCTCAGCTGGGAAAATAACACATGGAAAAGCAATGAAAGTTTGTGAATAGGCTTAAATGCCCGAGCTTCCAAGGGAAGGGGTAAGTGGGTTTCTAGCACTCCGACCTGACAGGCCTTTGGCATTATAAGCAGATGTGGCAGACCTACCTCAAAGCTTCTCAGAAGCATGCGGAAAATTGCACGGTGCCATCGCAAGGAGGCACAACCGGGCCTGACTCAGCTGCGGGACTGGGAGGCAGAAAAGCGAGGGGCTCCACTGGGGCAGCAGCATACTGAGAAGTCAATGTGCCTGCGCCCGCCGCCCCTGGGGATGGGACTAGACAGAGGATGAGGCGCCTCGGCTGCTGTTTCTGCGAGAGAGCTGCAGCCCCTTGCCCACACACTGTGCTGCTCGGTGGAGGCAGCCCCTGTCGCTTCGCATGTCTCAATGGAGGCAAAACAAGCAGCTTATGGCTGGAGGTGGCCCATGGCCTGGCACTGACGGCTAGACGCAAAGTGGAAATCTTTACCCGATAAGACTTGCTTTCCTTTACGAGCCAGGCTTTTACAGCGTTGGCAAACTGTAACCGGAAAAGCTGAAATCCTCCACCCTTGCTCTTGGTTTTGCCAGTTTTCATTCGTTTCATTTTACTTCTTCAGGCAGTCGTGGTTTGACGAGTAGACTCGAAATGGCCTTTTGGCCATTCCAAATGGCGCCTTTTCTGTCCTCATGATAAAGCAAGCTGCAGCCTCTTCAAGCTATCTGTACTCTGAACGCCCCGAGCACATTTTGCGCTCAAGGGAGGCTCCAGTGTCAGAGCTTTAGGATCAGCTCAGGGTCTTGCAGATCGCCTGGTCCCTGTTCTCCTAGGAGAGATTCCTTAGAAAGCACTAACTGGGTGTCAACGCTGTCCCTGTATGAATGCTCTTTTCCGTACAGCGGCTGCAGAAAAGGATGAGATTTAAATTCTGTAAGCATAGTGACGACTAGCAGAAGCTACCTTAGATTAAAAAAACAAGTGACCTGAATATAAGCTCAGTGTTTGAATAGTATGTTTTCCCTGTTGGGCTTAACAAATTCTGTCCACAAATCTATATGCATTATACACAAATGTAGATTCGGATTTAAAATTCAGTGCTGTGCAATAATCAAAATTATTTGAAAAATTATATGCGTTTGGATTCATGTATACATTCAGGTTTCGAGTAACCACCAGAGATCTAGCTTATTTATATACAGCATTTTGATTCAGGGCTCCGTCTTCTTTTTGAAGATTGAAAGTGTTTGAAGACTTTATTTCAGTTTTTTTTTCTTTAATACCATTCCTTTCACAAGGATGAAATAAGAAAGTCTTTGATTTGCCAGAAATAAGTGTGTTTATGGAAGACTTTTCATCTCTGCATTATACCTTGAAGTGTTTTGGATCTGGGGAAGACAGTATGAGCTTGGAAAGAATAACTCCACATTTGCACCACAATTAAGAATACAGTATTTATTCTACTTTTACCACTTGCAAAATGCACCAAAATGGGCACTGAGCAGTTCCTTTGAAAAACAAGTAAATATAAGCTGAAGAGGACAAATTAACCATAAACTTAGGCTGAGTACTTAGCTTGTCATTCAGAACTATATTCTCCCCTCTATTAACTATGCTTTGTGCAAGAGAGATTAACATCTGGTAAATCTACTCTCCTGAGCGTTCCCATAGCAGCACTGAATTTCCCTTACCTCCAGCACAAGGATAAGCTCACAGAAAAAAGAAATTATTGCTGGACATTCTTACCTGTGACTGCCACGATAGTACGTGAGATCTGTTGGCAATTCTTCTACTAGTGTGTAGTTTGAAAGTAGCACAAAATATACTACTTTAAAATAAAAGCTATTGTCTCAAAAAACCCTTCAGGAAATCTGGAAACGTTTTAAGTTCTCTCTCCGTGTGACTTCAGTGCATCAAGCAATCTGACTTCCCTTGATATTACTTTATTGAGGTTAAAGGTCTTGGTGAGAAGACAGATGTTTCAGAAGAAACTGATCTGACCACCAAGAGTCGCTGAACTGTTTGTAACTGAGACTCAGAAGCAATTATTTTTATAATCACTTTTTCAATTTCAGGTGATGTTTCCATTTCTTATAGGAACGTTCAAAGTTTTCTACAAGAAGAGTGGGAGTTGGGGTTAGGGTTAGGGTTAGGGACAGATGCACAGTTACATCACTGCAGCACAGCGGCAATTTGGGATACCTTCCCCTACCGGGCGCTTTTTACAAACCTAACCCTCAGTCCCACCATCTCCAGCCTGTGTCCCTGCATCAGCAGATTATAGAAGGAGCCTTTCTTACTACTCCACAGTGGTTAATTATTTACACAAGTGCAATAAGTTCAACAGCAAAGACTGAATACTATGTAGCTGAAGATAGACAAGCAGTCAAGTCATTCATTTGGGCTCAGAGAGTCTGAGGTTCAAATTCTTGGACAGACATTCACAGATAGAGACTTGATCCTGAACTTCATGGAAGCCAAGTGAAGGCTGTAAATATGAAGTATTGTTTACTATCGCACAGGTAGTCTTTCTCTCAGTGGTTTTGGCCAAAAATTCCATCTTTAACCTTCAAGGATCTTTAGTTCCCAAAATCTAACTTTTCCAGTGGAAAAGTCTTGATTGGTTCTGCTGATAATATTCTATATTTTATATATTAATATAACAGGGAGCAGATGTTTTTGGCTATAATTTGTTGATCGTTTCCTCTACTGCTAACAGCTGCTCTAATCTTACTTTAAAGCTAGGCTAATTTCTGTAAATGTTTGGGATACACACAAGTAATGTGAGGCTACGATATCTAATATAGCAGTGTATATGAATGGAATTGTTCAAGAAATAGTTTATCATCTTGTTTAAATGAAAATACGATAGCTAAGCGTAGCTGTTCTTCTAGCGCAAGAACACTTCACAGTATTCTTGCTTTGAAAATAGCATGCCTTAGCCAATTTACAGTGCAAAAAATTCAATTTGTTGAATCAGTTAGCATAAAAATGAAACTGTTATGCAAAAGAAGAATTGTTTCATGATATATGGACCTGTCAGCTCAAACTTGTGTCAACAGCCCCAATTTCTTTTACTGCTCCAACCCGACCAGACAAGAGACAGCCCCAAACCAAAAGCCATCTCAGCACTGCTTATTAGCTTGAGCTGCGTTAATATGGCTAAACAACTTTATACGATATTTGGCTCATGCCTAGCCACTTTGGAGCATAAATATGCTTCAACAAGCTGAGCTAACCAGAGCTCTTCCTAGTCCCAGAACCAAGTTTGAAAAACATTTTAACACCAAGTTACAGCACTTATTTCTGCTAAAGAGAAGGAGAGTTTTGCCATTGATTTGAATGGGAGGCGACTGGGCAAACTGTTCCAGAATATTGTTTCAAATATTTACTTACCCAAGACTGTAGGCTTCAGATCCCAGCCTGTAGGATGCAGCCAGCTTATTGATTGATTCAGATCCATGACTATAGGCAGCTGAGCTCTTGCTGAGGGATTCAGAGTCAAGACTGTAGGCAGCAGACCGTTTACTGTGTGCAGCAGAGTGACGGTCATAGGCTGTAGATCCATAGCTGTAGGCTGCTGACTCAAGGGCATGGGCTGAAGAGCCATGACTATATGCTGCTGAAGACTCAAGGCTGTAGTCTGCTGCAGACGCATGGCGATAGGCTGCAGAGCCCCTACTATAAGCTGTAGCTCCTTGAGCATAGACAGCAGATTTGCTCTTTGCTTCCTTTTGGTACTGGCTTACAGTGGACTGCAGTGCTTTGTGGCGGTATGCACGGTCATAATGCTCATGGTGTCTTTGGTAGAAAGGTAAAGACATCATGAGTGCCTTCTAATTTAGCTTTACTGCACTTTTCTGAATATAAAAATAGCAGGACAGTGTCTGAAAGAGAACAGATCAAACAGATGAAGACTGAACTCAAAGAGACTTTTGAGTTAGCATACATATAATACAAAACTTAACATAAGCTAACACAAAACTTAAAACTTTAAAGGTCAAACGCAACAAATACAGGGTTATAATACTTCCTAGACTTTAAGATGGCTTCCTATTTAGGTTTCAAGAAGCTCATGCGTCATTCATCAGGAGTAGAAAACCTCATACTATTGTGTCTGCTCATTTGTAGTTTACTGTGGTCTCCTAGTTATTGCAAACTATGGAAGCTTCTTCAGAGAAAACGTAAATATTTTTGTTAAATGAAAAACGGGAGAATGAAGTAATAAATAATACAATAAAATATGATAGATTTTAACAAGGTAAATTCACTACTTTATAAGCTGAGATCAAAATATATGAACATCTCATTCATTTTAGCAATTCAATTTTCAGATACCTTTTAATATCCAGCCTAATATTTTAAGAGTGAATTAAAAGCAGTAAGACTGATAAGGATGTCACCTTTTTTGGTAAACGTATATAACATTTTTTTTATTTGATACTAGAAATTCATTTAAAAGAGCTTTTCATACTTTTGCAGCTCAGTAAGGGATACAGTCTGTATGCACCGATTAGAATTCTACCATCAGGTTCATCAGTCAGACCCCTTTTTTAACCTAGAACCGCATGTTCAAGATCTTGAAGAAATTCCCTCCAGATAGTATCGCCATTTGGGATCACAGTCATCAGTAGATTATCTTGCAGTGTCTCATAGTAGGAAATTTGATCAGATGAGAGGTGGTTCCCCTTTCAGAATGGGAAGAGGGTTAAAGGCAGAAAGGATTCCCCTTTAGTTTCTTAAATGACAATCCAACCTTTATTTTGTTATTATTTTGTTTTGCTGTTGTTAAAACTGGTATCGTCTTCTCTGGCAAGGAAACTTGTCTATGCTAATTCCTCATAATAACATTTCTTTCTCCTGCCATTGGTGATTAGGCTTATAAGATGGAAAGGACTTTCAGTGAAGAAGCTAGATGGCTACAAATAAAAGTGAGCTGCAGTGAGGGAACTTTTAGAAAAGTATAACGAACGTCCAAAAAAAACGGTGAGAGGTGCTTGTTGCTGTTTTTTTCCCCATCAATTACAATAATATGGAACTTGTTCTACATCTATTTTTATTCATGTTAATGAAACTGCTTATCTGATATTTCGATAGAAAAAACGTTTACAGAGCTAGCGTATAATCTTGATTCCATGGAAATCAAGAATTTTGTCCCTGGTCTTTTGTCGCTGCCAAGATTTTGCTTCTCAGGTTTGTTTTTAGTAGTTGGTTGTGGTAATAAGTCGAACAATTTCAGTTAATTCTCTTTAATGACTAATCAAACTTAGACAAATTACGAAAAGAAAAAAACAGGATTTCAACTGTCCTAAATTTCAGGACCCACTCAAGGTCTAGGAACTGTTTTTCAACTGATAATAGAACTGATCTCTCAGTTTGCAGAAAGTTAACAATAAACGGAGAAAGTCATTCAGAAGTCCTTAAGTATGTAAAAGAAATCTCTGATATCCTGACCATAGTGGAACTACGAATTCAAGGGGACTAGCTAATCCATTTACTCTATTTTTACCTGAGGAAGAAGGAGGAATAGGAAAAACTGTTAGCTCATTGTTCCCTGCAGTGAAAACTAATGCTTCACTTTAATTTCCTTATTTCTCCTGATGGCCCTTTTGCACACAAGTCTAGCAAACCCAATGAATCTGTACAGAATCCTTTTTTCTAATACCTATCAATATTTTGTGTTGCTTTTTGATTCGCTTTGTTGGCTTCCAGTGGTATATAGTTCCTCTTAATTTGCCTCCTTTTATAACATTTCTTCTCTATTTTTCTTTGTTGCTTTCTCTCCCGGCTCCAAAGAGTTAGATTTAGGGATTGCAAGCCAGTGTGACGTCTGCTGAGCAAAGTTAAATCCTACAGATGACTCTTGTTCTACTCACGGAAAGAAGAAGAACATGAGCACATTCTGTTTTCCATTTGTAAAGCACTACAATTTTTTTCCTTCTTCACCTGCTTTATTTGCAGCACTGGTTAGCTTCGTCATGGATATTAACAGCCACACTACTAACAGCCATGCAGTCCCTGTGGCTCAGGGATTTCCACAGCTTAAGGATTCAAGGTAAGGAACTGATCCAGAAGTATAAAGCACTGCATATATTGCATATTAAAGATAAGTTAAATGAGACATTGATATTTATATATTATAACAGCAAAGAAGAATCAGTGGATTTAAAGTCAACATATTTAAAATGTATAAAGGTAACCTTTTTCTTCCAAATACAAAAGCTCTGGACTAAAGCTATGCCTCAGAAAAACTGAGTTGGATTCATAAAAGGATTATGCATTTATGTAAGTAAGAGCTAAGACACTAAGATATGAGCTGAACAGGAAGCCAGCTCCCCCGGTTCAAATCAAAGGCCAATGGTTACTCATGAGATACAAGAGGAAACTCTTTTCATAGGTATTTTATTACACTGTGACTGTTTTATATTTCCTCTGAAACATCTAGCATTGTTCACTGGTAAGGATCAGCTACGATAGTCTGATCCAATGTAGTAGGTAAACGTTTTTGGAAATAACAAGAAACTCTGAACCTCCTAAGGATTTTGCTCCTATTCAGAGCACTGTCTGCTTGTGGAATTGGCTCCCATCCCTTATGTTTTACAAAATTCATACTACCTGTGTCTACCTACTGTGTGGCCCACTAATCAGGCTCCTTCATATGAGGGTAGCACCCCATCTGAGATCTGTATAGGATTTCACATTTGCAGAGCCGGGCCTAAAAATATTAGCTAGATGCAAGTTCATGTTTTGGAGCCGTTATTACCAGCTGTTGGACTGAATTTTCAAAATGACAGCTAAGTAGACAGCCTACAAGTACAGAGTTCTGTACTTGTTTGTAGGCTGCAAATAAACACTATAGGAAATTATTTTATTGGCATTATCTGTTGCACTACTTAGCAGTCTGTATAATTCTTTAAAAATGAACTCAATCTGTTAGTGAAAACAGTGAAATAGGAAAAACAGAAAAGCTTATAAGCAGGAGAAAAAAAAAAGTAAGATTTCCTTCAGCTCAGTCAATAGTACTTCATCTCCTTTACAAATCATAAAACATCCCATGCAACTAGAAAATATTTAGACTATTTACACATTCCCTAAGGCCAAAGAACTCACACAACAAATTCCTCCTGTATCTCAGTAACTCAGGCTTCATTTGAGAGTACCGTAACAATCTGTAAGGACAGCTGAGTTGATAGTAAGTAAACCAATGCACTACTTTGCTTAGTCTGAACCTGCAGATTTCTTCAACTCAGTTCCACAACTCCCTCAAACAACTGCTGAGCTGAGAAGATTAAAGGGAGCTACTATCAGCTTGGCATTACAGATTGAAAATAAAAATAGCTGAACATGTACATTCTTCTGTCGTAAAGGAACACTTACCGGGACCCAAATGAACAATAACAAGTGGAATAGTTCTGAGGTGGATGAATAACAGAAAAACACAGCAAGGGTGAATCCAGCAAAGAGGTAGTCAGGACCAGGGCTAAGGACTGGACTTTACAGTCCAGAACAAAAATAATGCCTGCGGTCAGTGGAATGCCAGAGCCCCAGTCCAGACCTTTTATGGCCAGGAGGCTGATAAATATAGCATCGAAGAGGGAGAGGAGAGACAGAGACAGATAAAGATACTCTGCGCTGTCTCTGTGCAAGCACATGATGACGACAGCTTCCAACTGAGTTCTCTCCTTTTAAGTATCTTCACTACATTCAGTGCAAAATCTGTATTCCGATTCACAATTATTTATAGGATTTTTTTTTCTAAGTTACATCAGGTTTAGAAGAGAAAAAAGAAAATGTAATGTGTCATGAACCAGAAGTAGGAAAGATCCATCTCAGTATTGACCTTTGCCATGGTGCATGCACCATGTACTTATTTCAGCTAAATGACAGACAACATAGAGTAGTTTCAGCAAAACTCTATAAAGCCATAGAGGTGTTACTATACGGCTGTGTACTTTATTCTGTTGACAGTGCTATGTTTTCATCGTCTTATTTAAGATAAAATTCTAAATTAAGCAGATGACCTCATGAGGCATTTAAGTAGATATAAACAATGCAGCCTTAAGAGCCAAATTTTTTTTCTAAACTCTAAACAGTATTATCTCTGCCACACCAGGGATAATTAAGTGGGCTTTTCTTCTTTCATTTCAGTTACAGCAGTTTGGCATAGAAACGTACAATCACTGTTGCTGAATATTACAGCAGAATAATTTCTGTCACCTGGAAATAGCCTTTAATACGTGGAATGCACTGTGACTTTATTGTAAATATATATTTTCCTCCGCATACTTAATATTCAATACAAATGATTAGTCCGCATTATTTTGCACATTCGCACTGAAAGAGGTGTTAACCCTAACTCTCAGTTCTTAGTTGTTTTCCACCCACCATGCAACACAGCTGAAAACTTTCTAGATCATCATCCTTTTCTGAGGCATTCCCCCTTCTGGGTGGAAGTGGCAGTAGCAGGTCTGGACTAGACCTGTGACTAGGAGCCTCTTCTGTATAAAGTCTCTCCGGTATCCTCTTCACCTCAGCTTCCTTGATTCCACCTAAAATCTCTTTGGTTCCCACACTTCCAGAACCTGCCACTAGCTGCTTGTTCCCTGGGCAGCTACTACCTCCTGCCTTAAGCTGCACCGTGCAGTAAGGTCACCTGGCTCCCCACCTGCCACGCTGGGAACTGCTAGCCTCGATTCACCATACGGGCTTTTGGTGTTTGCCCCCTAGCACAGGAGCTACGGTCAGTAAAAAGTTGGACAGCCCTACAGATTGGCCACACCTGCAATTGGAGGAATGAAAAGCTGGAACCCTAATAGGACCTTTTCTTTCCCCGGGCCAGCCTGTGATTCCAGCCCTCCCTTTGCTTGCTGCACTCCTAGGTGAAAACAAATGTTGAACAAGAAAGGCATTCCTCAGATTGTATTTTAGCCTGCAGAAGTAGGGGGAAATAAATTAGGGGTGAAATGAACCAACATCCGTGTGAGTTTTCCACTCTCAGCGCTGAGTCGACACTTCAGTTGCTGCCCCATCTCTGGTCTCAGATTCCCCACTGCCACTGCTCATATTGGAGACCAGCCTGCTCTCCTTCTCACTATCTGCCATGACAGACGGGGATGGAAAATCGTTACATCATAAATTTAGCAAAACCCACCTGAAAAAGAAAGATTTTTCTCATCGCCGCTGCTTCATACCTTTGATCGCTAGGAAATATCCTATTTCACACCTAAATGTGTTCCTGACTGATTAGACCTGTCTAACTCTGTGTTAACATCGCCCATCAGTCTGACTATTTATTTTCCCTTCCTGATGCTTATTACCCTGAATGTATTTTGAGAGCAAAAATGTCCCCCTCATCTTTTTGTTCTGCTTAGCTAAATAAATAGCTCCTTTACTCCTTTTCATAAGTTAGGCTTCTCGTTTCATTGCTCATTTACTAATCCTTCTTTGTGCCTGTTCCTGTTTGAATTCATCTTTTTCCTACCCCATGGGTGATCTGCGCCTTACAGGACTCCAGAGGAAGTTTCATTAGAGCGTTACCCTCCTACTGTGACACATCTCTGGCTTCACTGGAAAAATGTCAAACGATAGCTTTCATAATTGCATTGGCTTTTTTCACATATACATCTGGTGACTCATCCTGACTGATTAAAGTCTTCAGGTATTTTTTCTCTTCTGTCATTTCCAGCTGAGGAAATCTAATGGCATCTTACGTTTTATGAGCTGACACTTTGTACTACTGAATTTTATCTCTTTATTATTCTTAGCCTTACCATCCATCTCTTCCTGTATCATATTCTAATCCTTCTTTGCATGGTGGATGCATCTCAATATTATGCAATCAGCAAATTACATTAGCACTTTCTTATTTTTCTACTAATGTTGCCCGCAAAAATATTGAATAACTTGGCCTGAAGACTATTTATTCCTTTCCTAGTAGAATTGCTCCACCTGATTCTTTCCCTCTCAACAAAACCTGTTATTGGTCTTCTGGCCATTTTCTTGTCTGCCCTGCACTTCTGGTGTAAATCCCCCATTTTAATTAAAAGCTTTGCAGGTGGCGCAGCATCAAATCTAGATGGATTAAATCAGTTTGTATTTCTGTTTAGAAATTATTTATCATAGTAACAAAAAAGATAGGTTCCTTGATCTGTTCTTGATTCTGCTTGTACTGATCTTGATAGGCTATGTGATTTATTATCACTGAGCACATTCCATCCAAATTTCCATTTTTCTCCAAAATTTGGTAATTCTTTCCTCAAAATTTGTTTTAAAGCAAAATTTTATCAGAAGTCTTACAAGTTATTGATTGTTGGTGTATAGATTGGTTTTTCATTAACAAACTATTTGCCCTCTCATTATTAGTAACATTTGCTCCACAAACTCGTCATGACAGCTGGAAGTGTCCCATAATAAGTCATCTGCTGGCAGCATTCATTTTTCCTCACAACATGGTAAGATTTCTGTTTGTATTCAAACCTGACACAGAATCTATGGCAGGCTCCTAGAACTATCTCAACAGAAAATTTTTATCATCTCTCAGAGTGTCTTTGGCATATCCATACTTTATCCATCCATATGCTCTGTTTTCATTTTATATAATACATCAAAACAGATGGATGTTAAGTGATGTCCCACCCCATATCCACCTGTTTTTCCTAAACAACATATATCCTTCGGTACCTTTATTCCAGTAATGGTTGACAGTTTCTGTTATCCTTACTCTATTTGGCTTTATATCTTGCACTAGAAGTGTTCTCATTTCTCTGTATTTCTCAGCAGCTGCTAGGGACCTAGCAGGCCAAGATCAGTTTACCCACATAGCATGTCTTTATCCAGGGAAAATGTTCTGCTGTGTAGTCAACATGAGAATGGAGGGATTCTTGCCCAAAATATGATGTTTGTCTTTGACCTACCATGAGTCTGTAAGCCAGCTGTGGCTTTGGAACTGGTGACTCATTGTAGCATGACCCCGTAACGAAGGGAGGCATAGCAATGAGGCTCACAGAACCAACGGACAGGTATATTTATATTGTTTTTTTTTTTATTTTTCAGCCAAAAGCCTGAGGCTATTCTGCCTAAAAATTTGGCATGACCATAGCTAGCCTTTTGTCTCTTTCAGAATTCTTGTGTCCTATGCACATACTGTTACGGTAAGTTTGCCAGAAATACTCAAGATGCGCTACTGCTCAGGGAGACATAACTAAAAGTCTCCAACTACCATTTTCAAGAAAAAAATAACAGATTCTTTGACCTGAGACATGCAGTCTCGGGACTTGATTCCCTATTGCCTTGCTTGTGATATTTATACCTGTGGGAAATCAGGACAAGATTGGCTTAAAAACTGCTTCCATATATTTCAATTTACGTCTACATTCCACAGACACAAATAACAATATGAAATGAAAAGCTGTCAGCAAACAGACCCATTTTATCTTCGTTTGGGTTCAGTTAGGCACAGCCAAAATCCCAAATGCTGAAGATACATCATTGCAAAAGTCTGGCTCCAGGTATCTCCTCAGGTTGTCATTACTATTGGATATATACATTTCAGCTATCTCAGCTAGTCTCAAATGTAGAACTGTCACCCAGGAATATCATCTTACTAATAGTTTAGGTAGTAAGTACGTCTTTGCTCCCTAACCAAGAAGCCAACAACTTTTAAAAGTGTTTTACTTTGGTTGTCTTACAGCTTTCTACCCCAGTAGAACAGCAGCAACAGACTATTTCTAGATCAGCTGTTTCTGAGGAACTATTAACAGTCTTGGAAAGACTGGTCAAAACATCTTGACAGATGACTGCTGAAGGACCAAAGAGATGTTTCAAACTACGACAACTCACATGTAGAGGACTTGACTGCTGTAAATATTTACTCCTGCTCCTGGTAGTAGCTCCTGCTATTTAGTTACACAGTTTTTAGAATGAACTAAAACACTTTTAAACATGAGGTAAGTAGTCTGGCCAAATTATTTAGATACTTGTCCCTTCATTTATCGTTCAATAACTTATTTATCATTATCTTAGATGGTGACTTTGTATTGATTGTCTCTCCCATTCTTCTTACCAAAAGTCTTCTAAACTGCATGACTTCATTACGAAGCAAATGAACTATAGATATCGCTTTACTTACAGATTTAAGCCACTATTACACTAATACAAAGCAATAGCCTCCAATATTACAAGGATCAGTACTACAGTAATTCAGGCATAGCTAATACAAATCACTACGTAGGCTATAATAGCAACTCTCATTTTCCTCCTATGGGTCTTCATATCACTTGCTGAAATACTTCTGAAACAACAAACAATTTCTACTATAGGAAAGGATCATGGGAGTCCCTCGATAGAAAAAAAAGAATTGTTTTAGCTATCACACTTGCAAATGGTTTCAAATATAGTAATTAAGCCGAACAAAGTTTCAAGGAAAATTTGCATCAAAATTTACAAATGTTTTGTTCAATACATCCT